TCTTAAAAAAAGAACTAACACTTATCCTTCTCAAACTACTTCCAAAATTCAAGAGGAAGACGTCCAAGTTTATTTTACAAGACCAGCATTATCCTAATTCCAAAATCAGATAAAGACACCACAAAGAAAGAAAATTATAAGCCAATATTCCTGATGAACATAGATTCTAAAATCCTCAAAAAAATATTAATAAACCAGATCCAGCAAAATGTTTAAAAAAAAAAACCATACACCATGATCAAGTGGGTTTTATTCCAGGGATGCAAGGTTGGTACAATATTCGTAAATCAATAAATATGATACATCACATAAACAAAATAAAGGATAAAAATCACATGATCATATCAATAGATGCAGAATTTATGATAAAAACTCTCAGCAAAGTGGAAATAGAGGAATCATACCTCAACATAATACAGGCCATATATGACAAACCTATAGCCAACATCTTACTCAATGGGCAAAAACTAAAACTGTTTCCCTTAAGATCGGGAACAAGACAGGAATGTCCACTTTCAGCAATCTTATTCAACATAGTACTAGAAGTCCTAGCCACAGCAATCAGACAAGAAATAAAAGGCATCTAAATTGGAAAAGAGGAAGTAAAACTGTCCTTATTCACAGATGACATGATATTGTACATAACATGATATTGTACCTAAAGACCCCACCAAAAAACTACTAGAGCTAATAAATGAATATGGCAAAATAGCATATTTTGAAATTAATATTCAGAAATCAGTAGCATTTTTATACATCAATAATAAACTATCAGAAAGAGAAATTTAAAAAAAACACAATCTCATTTACTATTGCAACAAAAATAAATAAATATGGTACCTAGAAATAAATTTAACCAAGGAAGTAAAAGACCTATACTCAGAAAATTATAGGACATTAAAGAAAGAAACTGAGGAAGATACAAATAAGTGGATACATATACCGTGTTCCTAGATTAGAAGCATTAACATCATTAAAATCTCCATACTACCCAAAGCGATCTAGAGATTGCTATTCCTATTAAAATACCAACGGCCTATTTCACACATCTAGAACAAATATTCCAAAAACTCATATGAAACCAAAAGACCCCAAGTAGTCTCAGAAATCCTGAGAAAGAAGAACAAAGTTGAAGGGATCACAATACCTGCTATCAAACTACATTACAAAGCCATTGTAATTAGAACAGCCCAGTACTGGCATTACAACAGGTATATAGATCAATGGAACAGAACAGAAGGCCCAAAAATAAATCTACACCTTTATGGTCAATTGATATTTGGCAAAGGAGGCAAGAGCATACAATGGACTAAAGACTGGAATGGAATGGACTAATGGTCTCTTCAGTAAATGGTGTTGGGCAAATTAAATAGGTACATACAAAAAAAAGTGAAACTAGACCAACTTACACAATACACAAGAATAAACTCAAAACGGATAAAAGACTCTAAAGTACCAAAGGGGACCTCCCCCAAAAAAACCAGAATTATCTTCTGGAGGGCAGGCCCCTTGTAGCACGGGCTTCCCCGGCTAGGTGAGTGTTCTAGGAGCCCACCTGTATCACTGCACCAGCTGGTGGTGTTGTGAGAAGCTGGGTTCAAAGCAAATTTTTTTGAAGACTCTTTCAACGCATTTGCCCATTTCATGATGGCTGATTTATAAGCGCACCTGCCCACACTGCGTTGAGTATTCAGCAGTTTTTGACCAAAAATGGCAGGACCCCCATGCCCCACCCTCCCTATTCCCCCAATCGCACCCTGAGTAACTTTTTCTATTTCCCCGGATTAAAAACAAAAATCCTCAAAGGGAAACATTTTGCCGATCTGGAAGAACTGAACAAAAAACAGCAGAAGCACCAAAAAACATCAAAATCAAGAAATTCAAAAACTGTTTTGAGAGTGGAAAATATATCTCAATCGGTGTACTGCATCAAGTGGAGAGTACTTTGAAGGTGACCGAAGTTTAAATATGTAAGAATACACAATTTTTTAATAAATTCTGGGATTTTTTTTGGTTCCCCCCTCTTAAGTCATGAAACCATCAAAATTCTAGAAGAAAACAAGCAGTAAAATCTCAGACATCTCTTGTAACAGTATTTTTGCCATGTACCTCCTAAGGAAAAAAAATAAACAAATAGTAGTGCATCAAACTAATAATCTTCTGCACAGCAAAAGAAACCATCAACAAAATGAAACAGAAACCTACTGTATGGGAGAATATATTCGCCAATGATACATGTGATATGGGGTTAATTTCCAAAATACATAAATAACTTATACAACTCAACATCAGAAAGACAATCTAAAAAGTAGGCACAGAACCTCAACAGACACTTTTCCAAAGAGGACATACGGATAATAGACATTATGAAAAATTTCTTAACGTCATTAATCATCAGAGAGATGCAAAGTAAACCACGATGAGGTATCACCTCACACCCATCAGAATGGCTATCACCAATAAATCAACTAACAAATGCTGGCAAGAATGTGAAAAAAAGAGAACCCTTATGTACTGTTTGGTAGGAATGCAGACTGGTATAGCCACTGTGGAAAACATTACGGAGTGTCCTCAAAAAATTAAAAATGGAACTGCCATTTGACCCAGCAATCCCACTTCTGGGAATATATCCTAAGGATCCTTAAACACTAATTCAGAAGAATATATGCACTCCTATGTTCACTGCAGAGTTATTTACAATAGCCAAGATCTGGAAACGGCCTAAGTGCCCCTCAGTGGATGAGTGGCTAAAAATGCCATGGTACATTTATACAATGAAATACTACACAGTCATAAAAAAAAAAAAGAAGAAAGAAAGAAAGAAATCTTAACAGGATGGACCTGGAAAGCATTATGCTAAGTGAAATAATCCAGTCAGAGAAAGACTAATACCATATGACCTCATTTATGTGTAGAATCTAGTGATCACAGTAAACTGACGAACAAAATAGAAATAGAAGCATGAGTATGTGGGACAGACTGACAGTTGCTGGGAGGCAGGGAGCGGGTACTGGATGAAAGAAGAGGAAGGAACTAGCCAAAAGCGTATTTCCGTAACCCATAGACACAGACAGCAGAGTGGTGATGGCCAGAGGGCAAACGGGGTGGGGGCCGGGCGGGCAAAGAGGCGGGGAGTGAGGATGAAAAAAGACTGCTCGGCCTGATGGGCACACGATGCAAAGCATAAATCCTGTTTTGTTGAGATTTACTTTGAAACCTGTATGGTTTTGTGAACCAACGTCACCCGAATAGAAAGGAGGGAGGGAGGGAGGGAAAGGAAACAAAAAAACAAACAAACTTGCCTGGTCCAACTCTTTCACTATTACAAACAAAAAGACAAAAACCAACAAAATTCTATCTCACCTACAGTTACATAGCTATCAAGCAGCCTCATGATCTAACCTAATCCTAACTTTCATTAATTTCTTTTTAATATTCAGAACAGCCCTGTGTCATCCACGAAGACAAAAACACAATATAAAATAAAATAAAATAAAATAAAATAAAATAAAATAAAATAAAGCAGTATACTAATAAAGGAAATCTCCTAATAGTTCAACTAGGTATTCATACATTCCCCCCAAGTGAAGCTTTATGCCTGCAGGGTTGCTCTACAGGATATTTTCGGCCTTCTGAACCACCCAAGGACACAGAGAATTACAAGCTCACAGATGTTAGCTCTGCAGCAGACTGACCTACTCAGCTGTAAAGTTGGCCAACCCTCAGAAACCAAATTTTCTCCAGCACATAGGTCCAAACGGGAATGGTACTGGACAAGTTCGCACAGCAACAGAGCTCTTCTCAATCAGCGAAATTTTAGAGAAAAACACCCTAGCAGCTAGCTACACATTCAAAGCAAGGAAACCTGCCCTAAGGATGAAGGTGCACACAGCATGTTTAGCCATGTATGCAAACTGTAAATTCACTGCCTTCCTGAGAAATTCCACTCGGGCTCATTTTATCCCATTCATGTTGAAGTTTCAACAGGCTTGCTAACCACAAAACTGAACAGATGCTATTAACACAAAACTTAGAGGAAAAAAATTTTTTTTCAAAATTCCAATCTCTCTTGTATAAGTTAGAATTATAAAAATCTTTTAATTTGCTGCTTCTTAAAGAGAGAATATTTGTTTTTAACCCCTTTTCTCATAGTTTAGAATATGAGACTTCCAAAGGAATCTACCGGAGCTTACAGAGTTAATGACAGTAAGACTGCTCAATAATGTAAAAAACATCCTTCTTCTTAAAGTAGTTTTCCTTTTCCATATCAAAGCAGCTAGCACATTTTATTAAATAATTTGAGTATAAAGGTAATGTCAATAATTATTAGAAATAACCAATAACAAACCAAAAAGTTAATGCATCCCTGAAAAATGTAAATATTAAAGTGATACCAGGAGTTATTTACATGGCTGCACAATACTTCTACCATAAAGTTCATTATTTCTTAACATTTCTCTCTAAAAAATGAACCCCCTTATATGCATATACATGGCTTTATATAATGACCCTTCAGTAAAAAGCAAAATCGTTTTCAAATGGTAAACAGACCAAAAAACAAGAAAATTTCCAAATGGTGATTTTTCAAATACCAATTTTCAAATCATAAACACTTTGACCAAATCAACAAACGAGAAAAAAACTGAGAGACAAGACCAAGCGCGGGGCTGGCCTGGGAACACAGGGCATGGCAGCCGGCAGCCGGGACCTGAGGGCCCCCGCCAAACCCCCCGCCAGACAGCACCGCCCCCAGGGGGAGTCTCTGTACAAAGTTACTAACTTGCCACTGTACATAATAAATAAATATTCACTTTTCTACAATCCTCTATATAGTTTTCTGTATCATAAAGAGCTTACCTTTAGATAGCGGTGATAAATATTTAATTGCCAAACAATGTTATTGTTTTCTTTACTGAGATACTGATTCACTGTACTAAAATTAGTACTTGTTGCGATTATAATCACAGAAGTCCAAAGGATAATTTGAGAACAAAATTCACCTTTGTGACAGTTTTTGCTTTCAGACCTCCATTCTCCGAAATGCCAAGTTCCAGTTTGCCATCATCCTTACTTCCTATAGATTTCAGTCCTTGCAAAAGAATGTCTTGTAAATTTTGATAAAGAGGTTTCTCAGCATAGTCCAGTAATTTCACTGTTTCCATGTATTTAGCAATTTCATCTAAAAGAATAACACAATTATTCTGTAATTTTTAAATCATAAATACAACATATTTATCCCTAAGAAAATATTTAGTGGTTTTAGTAAAATTAGAATAAAACTGTTTATCTTGTTAAATGATTTTTTTTTCAATCACTTCTTCACTAAAAGTATACTTCTGAACTCAGGAACTGTCAGATAATACTCAACATAAAAAAGTATGTTTTGAGATACAGTGTGAAAACAGTTTTGTAATTGTGAGGCAAAAAGAAAACATACTTAAAATCTTAAAATGCACAAAAATAACTGCTAGTTTTAAAGCTATCAAAAATACAAAAGGATATAAAATATAGATTATGAAGTAAAATGTGCTTAAGTCCAATGACTATCATAGCTAATGGGTTTTTGGTTTTTTCTGTTTTTTCCCTCTGTGTAAATGAGAAAACAAACATGCCAGAAACAGAAAGCAAGGCCCGGTTCTCCAGAGGAGAAAAGCCCCTTCTGAATGGCAAACGGCTGCCTGTGCAGGGTGGCAGAACCACACCCACCCAGAAACCGCCCCGGCCAAGGTCAGCACCCCCAACCCCGACAGCCGCCTGCGGCTTCCGACTCACACAGGCAGACCCCCAGCCGCGCCCTTCCCCGACCTGCAGCCCCGCCGACACACGCCACACGCAGGGGCTCTCTGGTGAACAAATGTGATCTCAGACCCCAGCCAACCTGAGTCTGAGCTCCTGGCCTGCCCGCGGCGGCTGCTCCCTGTGCTTTCCCTGGCCTGGGTCACGCTCACTCCATCCTCCAGCTCCTCCAGCACAGGCTCTCCGCACCCCACACGCCCCACTCAGACCCCGTCTGTGCCCTGGCTGGGCGGGCCCAGCGGGTCGGAGCGCCAGCCGCTACACCAAAGGGCTGCGGGGTCAGTCGCCAGTCAGGACACATACGAGAGGCAACGGGTCAGCGTTTCTCTCGTGTCCATGTTCCCCTCTCCCCTCCTCTCTCTCTCTGAAATCAGTAAACATATCCTCAAGTGAGGATTAAAAAAGGAAAAAAGAGCGCGCCCGTCGGGGATCTCATATACACCTTCGCTCATTCAATAATGTATTAAACGCCCATTAGGGTTATCACCAGGCAAGATTACAGATACTTGAGATACATGAGGAGATAAGAAACAAAAGAAACCCTCTTTTCACCTTTTTTATTCTGATAAAGGGAATCTATAGAAAACCTAACGGAAACATCACCAACTTTCCTTCTGAGAGAAGAAAATGGCAAGGATGTCCACTTTCACTACCTCTTTTCAGCACAATAGTTATCATCTTTTAGCCAGTACAGTAAGGCAAGAAAAGAAATAAAAGGCACAGAGATGAATGGAGGATTCAAAACAGTTTATTCACAAACATGATAGGGCATGGAGAAGATCCGAAGGAATCTATTTAAAAAATTACCTACTAGAACAGGTAAACATACCAAGGTCCCAGAAGCAAGGCAAGTTTATAAAAATCTACTGTTTCTGTATACTAGCAACAAGCAATTAGAAAATATTTTTAAAAGATATATCCTATAGTATAGTATCGAATACAATGAAAGATGAGCAAGATTTTTTGCAGAAAACACTGTAAAACACAGCAGAGAGAAACGGAGACTAAAAGGAGCGGAGGCTGCACCACGTCAGTGGACGGGCGGCCTCGGAGGCACAGCGCCGGCCGCGCTCTCCCTCGGGGCAGTCGGCGCCACCGCACGGGGAGGGCCGGCACACTCGGTGCAGAGCGCATGCGCCCGAGCTACGAGCTGCTTCTTAAATTCACAAAGGTACGCAAAAGACCAAGAAAAGCAAAACAGCAAGGTCAAGTTTAAAGAACAGTGCTGCAGGGCTTAAACAACCAAATGATACCAAGACTTAAGATAAAGGTACAATAATTCAGACAACAAGGTCCAAGAACAAACAAAAAGAACAAGGAAAGAGAAGAGTCCGGAAACAGATCCTCACTTGATTAAAGACAAAGGTGGCACAAGAGCAAGAACAGTCCTGTCAAGAAAGGCTGCTGGGTAATGAGATATAAATATGGGGTGAAGAAATCTGGCCCCTCCTTATGTAGCGCACAATAATTAATTGCAGGTACACTATACACCTATCTATATGTGTAACTGGTGATCTACAACTGCCAAAATTGGAAACAACCCAACAGTAGGATAAACAATAGTATCTAAATATAACGGAATACTACATAGAAATGAGGATGAACAAACTAATGTTAGCTACGCAGCAGTGGGGTCCTGAGGGTCTACTGCACAGCATGGTGACTACTGTTTAGTGACAGTGTTGTCTGCATCAAAGCTGCGGAGAGCAGATCATAAGCATTCTCACTGTAAAAAGAGTATGTGAGGTAATGGATGTGTTAATTATCTTGATTTTGGTAATTATTCTACAATGTATACATGTATCAAATCATCATGGCGTAGGTTTTAAATATATACAATTATATAGTAATTATTCCTCAATAAAATTAAAAATAAATAAAAACATCCAAAACACCAATGCAACAATGGTAAAGAGCTTCACAAGCACAACACTGAGTGAAAGATAAGGACTCTAACAGAATTAGAACATTAATTTCATTTTACATTTTGCTCAAAATGTTATCCCATACCCATATAGTTCAAAATCCAATCTTTGGTGTTGGAAGCTAGGCTGGTGATGCCTTGGGCCAGAGGGACAGACTAGGACCGGGGGGACTCTGAGAAACCTACGATGTTCTGTTTCTTGATGTGGTCAGTAGGTTGCAGCTCTGAGTGGCCTAAGATCAGGGTAGACCTCCCTGAAAGAGACAACTAGGCAAAGGCTTGAAAAGACTTCTAACTCCATCCAAACTGAGCACGTCTCACGACCTCCACTCTGCCTCCGAGCCTGCTCCTGCTGGGACCCTGCGTGCCCCTTGAGCAGTCTGTCCTCAGAACAGAAGCTAGAGAGATGTCCCTTAAAGACAGAGAGTCCCTGTCGCTTTGCTACTCCACAGCTCACCCTCTTGCTCCAAGTACAAGCCGAAGCCGCCACGACGGCCCGGGAGGACGCCTTCCTCAGATACACCCGGCACTTCCCGTTCCTTCCACCCACAGCTCCCCGCCCCGGGCTCCCACCAGGCTCGCTCCTTCCCTCCTTCCTGCACTGCTTACATGTCGCCCCCTCAGTGAGGCCATCTGGGCTCATCCGATTCCAAACGCCAGTCCTCCGCCCCACTTGGTCCCTGAATTCTATTCCACGCTTTCCTCTCGTCCCCACAGTACTAACCACGTAATACATGGTACAGTTCACTCATTTCTTTCCCATCTCTCTTCCGACTAGAGCGTTAGCTTCATGAGGACAGCAATTGCTATGTTTCGTCCACGGATGTATCCCTAGTGCCTAGAATGGTCCCTGGCTCACAATAAAACCTCAATTAAAAAAAGGAGCTGAATAAATGAATGAAATTTGGTTCCCTTCCTGAAAGCAACATATAACTGCATGAAGCAAAGTACTCCTGTAGCTCACTTCTGAATGGGAAGGTGCTTGTTCAGTGAGCGCAGGACCCAGTGCTGTGACCTCTCCTAACTCCTGCGTCAGGGGACGCGGCGTGGGTGTCGTGACTTTATTCCTCGCAGAAAATAAAATCCCTGTGAATGTATAGGAAGTCTTCTCCTACCTGGCTTGTTTTTCCCAGGAAAACATTTGTCCATCAAACTTGCAATATTTTCTCTGTATCTGTTAAAAATTAAAGAATGAGTCATAAAAAGTTATTAATATTTAACAACAGTAAATAGCACATTAAGCAGCACTGTGCTACATCCTAAATATGCTCACAGACATTCTTCTAAAATAAACTGAACAAAAGACCAAGATCTTACTGTTTAACAAGTACTTTCTTATTTCAAGTACTTTCTTGCTTAACTTTATCAGTTAAGGTACAGTTCCAGTAAAGAAATTCTGACTGGAAAACATCTGCCTTATATTGAGTCTGCCCAAAATAATTTATAAGTCCCCTTTACCTAATTTTGGAATCTCTAACATAGTTAGGATCTTTCAAATTATCCTCCCATGGAAGATGGCCACTAAGCCACTGGATCATACAATAACCAAGTATTTCCAAGTCACCACGTCTGGATGGGGCTATGAATACAAAAGAAGCGGATTAAGCACACTGAAATAATTGTTAAGGTTAACTTCAAGTATATATAAAGCAATAAGGTAAAACAGTCCACTCTACAGTCTTGTTTCTCATAAAATTTTGACTGCATTTAATAAAAATATTGAATATTGGATACTATAAAAAAATAATTTACCTCCAACCAATAACTTACTTTAAAATCCAAACTGGCAAACTCTAGAGTTTCAAACTGAGACTATTAATCTAGGAAATAAAATATAAACCCATGACCCATTTAATATTGCCCTTGGAAAACTTGAAGATATCAAAAATGCTATGAGCCATTAAGGGAAGCATAGAACAGGGGTTTTACCTCCCCTAGTTTTGCACACGGAAAAAAGAAATGACTACTGAAGAAACAGACTAGTTTACCAGGTGACAAAATACAAGTTTATCTGTTATCTGTAGCAGCATGAGGCGCTCAGACTTTTAGCGGGGAACCACCACCAAGACTCTGTTTAAGCTAAGGCAACCTCAGAGAAACCCCACTGCAGCGGCCTGACCCACCCCCACTGCGAGAACACGGTGTCTCTGAAGCTCTGGAGGACACGGGAGAGAACACGAGGGGCCTGCCGCACAACTGCGGGGGTCTAGCTGTCCCCTCCTTCCCCGTTCCACCCTGCCTCTTCGTCCTTCCCCACTTAGTTATTTATGCAGAACCAAGAACCACACAGGAATTCGGCTGAAAACATTAGTGCGTGCCCCAACATACCCACGCCGTTGTGTGCGTCAATGCTGGTGAATTCAATAGTGCCGTCGTGACATCTTTTAGGGTCTTCCTTGTATTCTTTATGAACTCCCTCTGGGCAGTACCGATAAGCAAGACCATAATCTACCAGGTACACCTATAAATTTCCAAGCACCGAGACAAATTAAAGCCAGAATGATTGCACATAGACTCCTTTAAAGGCCAGAAACAAAATACTGCCACTTAAGGGTAAATTCAGTACAAGACTGTATCACCCCAAATAAGTCAGATCCTACATTCAAACAATAACAAAGCCTTAATTCTAAAATACTTTCTATTTTAAGGAAAATGTTAGATGACCCCGTGGCTATAGTACAGAGAGTATCACCTGACTTTGTATTCTTTTTTTGGATGAATATGCATTGTAATTAATCTTGTCTCCTCAATTGGAGCATGGGTTACAAACCTTCTGCTTTCCCTTACAGCTGGAAAGAAAACTGAGCACAACGCAAACCATCAGTATTTGTTGCAATACAACTGCCACACTCAAGTATAATCCTGCTAACTTAGCTGACACATGATACATTAGTTGTCTTCTACACCTCTGCTTCTTCACTTGTAAGATAATCCAATATCAATTCACTTCATAAAAGTATTTCAGATTTTAAAAGTGATTTCACAAACTTCTAGACGAGACTTTCATCTACATTTAAATACCATATATTAAAGTCAAGTCTTCAAAATTAAAACTAAATTTTAATATTATATACACACGTATCTGTGGGCATGCATATGTGGGTCTGATTAGCATACAAATCTAATAAATTTGGCTTTCTTCTATGCCACAGCCTCATATTACATTTCTAGTTCTGGGAACTGTCTCACAAATGTATGCAGTTGGTCACAAGAGGGAACTGAAGTAAAAATATGGAGATGGATGTAGCCCATACATCTAATACTAGAAGAATAATCCCATCCAAAGCATAAGCCCAAAGAATAACCAAGCTGCAAAATATTTCCATATCAACAAAAGGCGGCATGTTTTAGTCAACTGCAAACTGAAATAGGTTGTATTATTATTTATTATATTACCTAAGTCCAGTCTACTTCAATTAATGGAATCCTTATCATTCAGGTTCCTAGCTATGTTTTATTTGTTTTTAATCCAAAATAAGATGGCTGGAAATTCTGTGACTGCCTCTAGGATTTCTCCCTTGGCATGCTTTAGCATAGCAACTTTCTTCTGTACATGCATAAAGATCCCGTATGGCCACCATTAACGGAGATGTGGGAGGGGAAGCAAATATATGAGATGACAGAAAAGAGAAGCCAAAATAAAAAAGAAAAACTAAGCAAAAAAAAGTTAAAGATAGGTTTGAGGGAAAGAAAAATGAAGTATGGGCTAGTGGCATAAACACATGTAAAATGTTTAAATAATCTTTTCTCATACAAGATCAAGAAAGAAGTGAGAACGCACACAAGGGAATAAATGCAGTGGCCCAACAATAAAATGTCAACTAAACCTTACTTACCGAAATCATAAAAACAGCTATAATCATATAGTACAGATCCCTCTACTCAAACTAAACTATCTCAAAACAACAAAAAAATAAAAGGTAAAATAATACTAGCTTTTCTCCTTTCCTTAAAAAGTAAAAAATTACAAAGGGAATGTAATAAACTAAAAAAAACAAAAAACAAAAAAAAAAAACCAGCAAATCTGAATTCCAAACACTCAGGGCACAAAAATTTAGACAGCTAAGATATTTGTGTAAACCAAATGATTTGAATAATCAACATGTTAAAGACCAAATTTTCCAAGTAGCAGAACACTTACATTTGATGGATTTCTTGAACAAAGGAAATAAAAAAATGACAAAGCAGACAGGCAAACATAATTTATTGGTGCACTATATAATTTTAAGCTTCTACCCCCAAATAGCTATTTGAAATTCATTTTGTATCACAAGCACTTCTTCTGAATATTATTTAGGGCAAAATAGCCAACTTGATAAAGTGCCAACAAATTGCATCAAAAATGCAGAATGTTAACTAGAGAAAAGTGTCAGGAAGAAATATTATTATTACCACATCTACTTCAAAAAGTAAAACTTGTGCATGAGTTCGAAAGTTCAAAGCAACCATATTTGTTTTCAAACAACAGTTTTTAAATAATAGAAATCAAAATTATAAAACTACCTGGTCAGGATTCTTGCAGCTCAGAAGAAGATTCGAGGCCTTGATATCTCCGTGTACGTACTCATGTTCATGAATGTATTCCAGGATATCCAGCTACGAAAGCATCACACAGAATAAATTAATGCAGTACCCAACACCAACCAGCAGAGGACCAAGCTTCAACTCAGGAGCTTTACTGGATTAAAAACAAGACAGACATAGCTCACATACAATTCTTAAGCTTAGCTGCAAGACAGTTTTCCGAGAAAACCTTTTGGCATTTGCTTCATATATTTTCTGAAGGTCACTCCCAAAGCGATCCATTATCATAAACCTGTAACTGAAGACAAACAAAAAAGGACAATGAACAAAATATAACTCTGCAAAACTGACTTTGCGAAGAGTACTTTCCTGTCAACGTAGTTTTCCAGGCAACATTTAGGAAAAAGAAGAAAGGACAGAAAGGCAAACCCCTGAAACGGTTTCTTCTAACTAGAAGTCTCCAGGGCCGGCTGCCTTCCTGTCCTTTCCCGAGGCCGCCGCCTGCCCTCCTGCAGTCCCAGGAGACGACACTCAGGGTCAGATAAGCCCCCAGAGAGAACCCACCAGCTTCCTCCATGGCGGGGACGAGACAATCAGAGTGAGAATGGTATCACTGTTTTTTTTCTCATAGTTACTGTATGTTTCTAGACATTAGCTTCCTTCCTGGGACTGCTTTTCTCTCCTGATCCTCCTACTACAGGAACTCGCTGAAGTGTCTCCTACAATGGAGCATTAATCCCCTTTAAGTATTGATCTACTTCTTAGGTTGAAGCTGTTAAGAACAATCATTTTGTTTCTTATAAAAGTAAAGATAACAAAAATCCTTACTTTCCCCTGTAACTGATTTGCATTAATAGGTATTCAGTGCTTAGAACAGTATCAGGATTATAAAAAATGTTATTTGCTATCATTATTAAATTAGTTATCCTGACATATTTTCCCATTATTTGCATTATTTTATACAAATTTCCAGGAAAGTACACAAGAGATGGTTTTACTTTAAAGGAGTTACTTAGAAACAACTTTCATATTCTTATTCAGTGGCAGAAGTGTCTTCCCAGAAGAGCGTGGTAAGAACGTTCATGCCACGGACAAAGTCGCACCTCAGCTGCCATGGCTAACTTAGAAACAGCGAGGCGACTCAAGGCTGTTTCCGGAGCAGTGTGATCTATGCGCATAAACAAAGAAGTACTTAGTGTGAGGTATGGATGGATCCCATGTTCAATGAAGCATTTGTGGTCTGGCCCTTTTTCAGACTGCTGGCAAAGGCTGTGTTTTTGTTACCCATACATTATTTTAAAATAATTTTACACTCCTATCACTTATTTGTAAACAACCAACTGCACATGTGTCCTCGGTCTCATCTCTCAGTCTTTGAAATCAGGCAGTAAAAATTATCATTCCCTCTTTATCTTAGAGGCCAAGGTACTGGAAACTCACATGAATGAATACACTGGCCACTGACTAACTGTATGACTTCAGGCAAATCACTTTATCTCCATAGATATTAATCTGTTATTAAAGATGCGCACACAAGATGATCTCTGATTCTCTTCCAGGACAAAAATGTGTAGAATTCTGAATTTTTTATTTGGCTTGTTGTGTTTTAATGTTAGCTCTTCCTTCCCTATTGAACATGTCACATTGTGTTTTATCTTAGAAGCCCGCAACACACACAGAAGTGGGATTCTTGTGCCCAGGGGACATTTATTCCCCCACGTTCAGTGTAGCGGTCAAAAGGCCCCAGTGCTTACTGAATGACAAACTATTTCATCAGCGCTCCTCTGCTTTAAAATGGGGCTAAGAGGAGGAGCACCCACCTCCTCCAGGCAATGGGAAGCAGGTGCACTAATGCATCTGAAGAGCTTAGAATACTCAGGGCTCAGTAAACACTAGCTGTTGTTACTATGATGGTTTTTCATCTTATCCCTATTGGAAGATATCTTGAAACATTTTTAGTGTGATCTTGGTTTTTATTGATTTATTGAGTGATTTAACGAAACAAGTCATAATCTGGAAAATTTAATAAAGGGAAATGTGGTCCTCAAAGCAAAAGATGAACTGGATTACTGCAACCTGGCGATACTTTTCATCTTCGTATTATCTCCATAAAGAAAGTACTGTTATCCCCACCTTCCAAGTGAAGAAACACAAGTAACTGAAAGTAACCAACCCAGAGCCACACCTGATGGAGTCAAGGGTAATCTAGATCAGTGCTGTCTAGGGGTTTTTGTTGTTGTTGTTGCCAACAGTATCTCTCCATTCTCAGAACTCCTTAAGATCACTAAGTCACAATCACTCAATTTAGCACTTAACTGTTCTAAATGTTTCATATATGTTTCATGTTAGCTTTTTCTTACCAGACAGAATTAAATCTCATAAAAAGCAAGACTCTACAGTGAGCAGATTATATATCTAACATGTAACACTAAACTGAAAGGGCTCCTTTTCCATAAAGGACATGGAGTTTTTTGTTTGTTTATTTTTAAAGACAAAAAAATGCAAGGCGCATTTGGGCTTGTCATCTGGGCTCTGGGGAGCTGCCAGCACTCAGTACAAGCCCTCTACATGAGAGGCGCCCCCTGCTAGCCAGGCATCCAATCTGTTGCTGTGGAAAGCAGAGAGCCGCCACGGCGTCTTGCTGGCCTGTCGCACACACTGCGCGCAGCCTGGGGAAAGGCCAAGCAGTGGCGCCGCAGTTGCTCGGGGTGGATGTCTTCACTCAACCAACTACACGGTGAATGTCCAAAAGGGGGAGAAAAAAAACAAAACGTGTATATTTTTACCTTTTCCCATCTTTATCATGCAGACCAGACCCCCAATACTTAGGAACACCCAGGTATTTCAGTTTATGGGTACGGATCCATTTCTGAACTAAAAATTAAAACAGATGTTTGTGATTTCAATTCTGTTAGACAAAAACAATCTTTAAAATCATTAAGAGCAAAATGTATATGCATAATAAAAATTTTTATTTATTCGTAAAAGAATAAACAGTACTTTATAACCAATAAATAAAAAGTAACTGAAAGCATTTTTATTAACTCACAATATTTTGTTAACCTGCCCTAAACACTGTCTTTACAATAAAAAATCTGCAAGATAAGTTCTTAAAAAAATCAAACCACAGTACTCTGGTTGCAATTAATATCCCTAATTATATAAGTGTTTACTTGCTTCCATAGACTTTTCTTTACCCCAGTCTAAAGTTTTACCTTGTTCTAAAAGTCCTCAACCAGGAAATGAAACTCCAGGAGAGACGGAGGGCGTGCGTGCTTGAGACTGCCAAGCCTGTGCCGTCCTACGGGGCCCCCACGGGGAGGGCACGGGCGTGTCCACGGCAGCTAGGAGAGACCTGCTCCGTACCTGGGCAGCCTGCTCTAGTCCATCAATCATGACCCAGCAACCCCACCCCAGGCCCCGGTTAGGTTCTCCCGAGTTCAAAAAATTATCCCAAAAGATGTGGAGATTCTTGAGCCATACTCATGGACTAGCGTTACTTCTCAATTTTTAACATTTCCTAAATGGTATACCATTACTAATTTTATTCTATATATCAACACAGTTAAAAATCTTCCAACAAACTCAGTAAGAGATCAGAATTCTTCCATACAAATATCATTTTAAACAAAATATAAAGTTAAAAATAAAGAGCCATAATATAAGCCACAATGCTCTACTCTTGGCAGAACAAGAGGCTGGGCACGTTAAAAGTGTAAACACAAGTACTGCATTGCTTACTTTGCTCTGGTTTGGCCGCTCGCTGGTAGAACTTTAATTCAGTAAAAAGAGGTCCATTGTCACTGGGTTCCTTGAAACACAGGCATTAGTTAGTACTGGCAGTAGTAAAAACTACTGAGTTATTTGCAGCAAACCTTCAAAAAAGACTAACAAATCCATTTTTCTTACCAAACAAGGTAGTTTTGATACTTAGTTTATAACTATATTTAAGAGTAAGTCAAACTCTGTTCCAGATGTTCTCAGGTAGCCTGTACATCTTACATTCCTCTCCAGCTCCAATTCTATTAAGTGATAAATTATACAAAATTAAGTGTATGGCTCAGTCTTTGCAAAAGTTTAAGAAAAATATTTAAACTTATTTTATCTTTAAGCTTTCTTTAAAGCAAAGATGAGCAACCATGTTAACTGTTTCACTGAGAGGCTATAAGATATGTCAGAGATTTAATAGAATGTCAATACTTGATTTAACCAATTCGTGGTAAAATCCCATTCCTTTTGTGTTTCTCATGGCAATTATATATAGTTTATCGGGACTGGCAGAAGCCAACCTTACCACAAAGAAGGACATTCTGGAATCACAGAGACAGCGAACTTTGGCCACTTAACTGCAGCCTTTCCTTCCTGACACTAATTTTCATAACTAAGGGGTCCGACAATTTACCTCCCACATGATAATGGAAAATCAAGAAGAAAATGGGGCTCAATAACAACCGTTTCAACCAATTTTACCAGAGTATATTCATTTCACATTTTAAGGGACAGTGATAGTCAAAAATTTTGGTAAAGTGGTATATATACTCACAAAAAGGCATTTGACTGGCAAGAACTATCAGTCTCTTGGCAGTCTTATTTAAAAAAATATGAAAGGGGGGGAAGATCTTACAATTTTGTGGGCCTTTTAAAAAATTTTAATTATTGAATTTTTTTAAAGAGGGAGGAAGCAGGGAGCAGGAGTGGGGTGGGGGAGGGCGGGGGTTGGGGGGAGAGAGATGCGCGTCTGCTGCCCCACCCACCCACGCACTCACTGGTCGCTCCCTGCATGAGTCCCAGCCAGAGTGGGACCCCAAGCCCAGTGGGTCAGGACCACGCGCCAACCAACTAAGCTGCCCAGCCAGGACCATGTGGACTTTTTAAACAGTAACTTTTGTCAGATTAAAATGGGCTGGTATTTATTTAACGTATCATATTCTGTGTTGGTATTATCCTGTTTATTGAGAATCTGGGAAAAATTTTGAAAAGCAGTGAAAACCTCAAATGAGAAAGCTAACATTTCTAAACTAATTTTAGAACTGCTTTTCTTTTAGGAAGTATAAAATAAAGTTAGTTTGGACAGAATATCTGCGTAGCTGGAGGTCAAGGGTCAGAGGAGCAGTAAAAGTGGTAAATAAGGCCCATTACCCTAACCAAGAGAATATTTGTGAAAATATATCATTTTCAGCTATGTATTTTGCAAATACTTAAAATATGTTCTCTTTTTTTTCATTCAAGATACCCTCATTGTCATAGACATTAATTTTGCTCCTAGAGGTTTAAATAAAACCACTCTACACGCACAGTTCTAATATCTCAGATTTCTTGTAAGTCAGAAAAACAGCAATCCAAGTTAAAGGACTTTCGGGAAAACTACTAAGCCCAACCTCAGAGTCAGGGAGGATTAGTGAAGACTAAGCATTCCAGAGCAAAGAGGCAACATAACAAGGCGCTTGGATCCGACCCAGGAAAGAAGCCTGCCTCGTGCGTTGGAGCTAAGGGCACTTCTCAGCCCAGCCTTCGAAGAGAATGTCACGCAAGGACTCGGCTTGCCATCACCTCCTGAGGAGGCGGCTCTGACCAGCACACTAGGGTGTGAGGGCCAGATCCCTAAAGTGCAGACTCAGCACCTCAAGGGTCCCAGGAACCTGTGGCCCCTCTCCCAGCAGCAATGGCAGCTGGACAGACACAGGTGCATGTTCAGGGCGCGTGCGGCTGAGGACAGGCCTTCAGCAGGGGTTAGAGACTTGGTGCAAGAAACAAAGAAATGGAAAATCAAGAGGAGGCATTTTGGTAAAGTGACTCTCCTAAAGCTAAATTTTAGAATAGCTCATTAATATAATTCAGGCTTGAAAGGGGTCTTTCTAAGACAAATCCTGGCTTATTACCGATCAGTATAAAATTCTGATTTATTCAATTTCAACCTATGTGATATCAACTTTAATTTTCAGGCCTTCCTTCAGGCAATAATTTATTAAACTTATAATAATGAGAATCAACCTATATAAATCAGGCTGTTAAAATGAAAGCCTTACTCCAATGAAGGCTCTTTGAGTTCATTTCCTATTTTTCTAATCCAGTAAGATTCCATTATAACAAAATAAAGGAGCTACTACTTCCTTGGCATTGCACTCTAGCCAAAGCCAGCCATTTCTGTTGAAGAAACTACCTTAACTCATAACTAAAATTTTATTAACATATTTCAAATCTAAAATACTTTGCCAACTCTATAATAGCCAAGATTTAGAAAAGAAATCGGGACTGACATTTTAACTAGAATATCACTAAACGTTTCTTTAAGACTTTTAAGTGTCAAAATGAAGATGACAACAGAAAAAAATTAAAATGTGATATATTTCAATGGCACCATCTAAAAGCAACTGGCTGCCATTTAAAAATGAAGCTGTATAAAGTTTCTCCTTCCTACCAAAAAATTATGATATATGAATTGAAAATTCAGGTCACTTCTCATAACATCAGTGAGGGAACTTAAACATCAGTCTGCCAACTTCTTCCTAAAGAATTCTGAAATTCAGGTTCATATGAGTTCATACTGGAGAGTGATCGCGATATAAAGAACTGTCAGGACCCAAAACCCCAGAGCCTGGCCTTCACCACCGGCTCTCTCACAGCTCACTGACTCAACCGCAAAGCGGGTGTATAACGGGAAGTGCTGGTTATGAAAAAGTCTGTTAACAAGAAATCACAAAAGAGACTTTTTTCCTCCTTGCACTATCTAACTTATTATTGTCGATATACCATTTCTTTCAGCACATTCACTGTCCTGAAATAAAATACAGAGAGTGTCACTCAGTTATCTAGAGTCAGAGAGACAAGTTTACCATCTCTGGTATCTTAGCACCTTGACTCCAAGGCTGCTCCCGTAAGTCAATAAGGATTAACACCGTAAACAAAACCAGACGCACTCATTTGGTAGAAGAGAGAATATATTTGGCATTTCTCAAAACATTTATCTTCAACATGTATGTCTTACCTCCATTTCAAAGCCAACTGCAAAAAATGTGTGGGTTAACTACAGTATCTGGGGCTCTTTCACAGAGCAAATACGTGTGTTAGCAGCAACCACATCTTCAGACAAGCCTCACACAGGAAGGTGGAAGCCCTGCCGGAAGCACGGGGCACCCTCATGCCCCCACTGAAGAGGGTCCCCAAACAAGGGTAAACGTGAGCGTGCACACGCAGTTTCAGTGGACGCAGCTAAGGCCCTCTGCGCGCCGGACTCCACCAGCGGTTCTCAGCCCCGACGCCCCACAGCATCATCCTGGGGAGCTGTCCTCGCCAGGTCGTGCGCAGAGACTCCCATCTTCCATTGTACACGTGGAGCTGAGGACCCTGCCTGATATGCTGTTACATTACCAAGTTTAATGTCACATTAAAAAAGCAATTTGCCTTTGATTATTTTTAGCATTTGCTGAGTTTTCTCTCTCTAAAGATAAAATATATGCTCATTTTAGAAAATCAGAAATATTTTGGTATATTTTCCTCACATACATAGCTATTGTATAAAACTTCCTCTATACCATAGTTTTGTATCTTGCCTTTCGTTTAGTAATTATGAAACTTCCCCAGAGCAGTATGTATTCTTTTAAAACATGATTTTATTAACAGCTCTTAATGTTTTATATGGCAAACGTCATAAGTAGTTCAGATTTGAATACTAAAAAGACCTGATACGCATTTTGCGCATTTATATGTGATGAGCCATTCCACCTTCTAACATTATACAGCCCTGAGAACAGAAGAACTGCAGAGCAGCAGGGGCAGAGAGCCAGCGCGCGCGGCCCCAGCGACGGCCGCCCACCCGTGGGCCTGCGCCATGGGCACGGGCCAGGCACGCGAGTGGGCAGCACAGAGGAGTTAGAGCATCCGTCACCCAACAGGACCAAACAGGCAGGTGAGGACAGCTGACAGAAAACAGAGTGTAAAACACAGTCCTTACCATGAAAGCATTTAAAATCTAGTTAGGAAGATAAATTAAAAACAATTAGTGGCATGAGAAGGATATTAGCATGTGAAATTGTAAAATAAATGAAAATAGAATGAGTGCTGCAGGAGTTAAAAGGAGTTCAGGAAAGAGAGGTATCAGGGAAGAAACAAGCAAACTGCAGTTACTAAATTCTCCCTGGGAGAGGAAAGAGAAAGGGAATAATACTGTTTTGTTCATGGCATTCTTCCAGGATCACAGACGAACGACGACATTGAAAACGTTACTGAAATATTAAATGCAAAAGAGAAATCAACTGAATATTTATCACTGTCCTAATTACAAAGAAGAGTAACAGAGGCTAAAGGAAACAGAACTAAATTAGGAGACAGGAGACGCAGAGCACTGAACCAGGTTTGATAACAAATGGCTTTAAACCTAGAAATTAAGATAATTTGCTAACTTAAGCAGTTAGGAAATGCTTGTTACTACATGTATTTCATAACTGTGAAGTAAAAAAGGTAGTACAAGTGAAGTTACACTGAAACACACTGAAATACTTACAACTACCCAAAATAGAGAAGAAGATCATAAATCTAAAATAAAACACAATTTAAAGAAGCCGAGGTTACAGAGAAGGAAACGGACTGGGTTCCACACCAGTCCCACCTCCCTTCGCAGCCTGGACATGACTGTGCAGACTGACCAGCTGCAAAGCAGTCAGAGCAGCCATATTTGTTGAACCTAAGATTATGAGAAGTCATATGAGGATCATCTTTCTTCTCACAATGGAAACTTTTTAAAGATCCTAAGAAGAAACTAACCTTGCCCTGGCTGGTGCGGCGCAGTGGACTGAGTGCCAGCCTGCAAACCGAAGGGTCAACGGTGCGATTCCCAGTCAGAGCTGGGGAATCCCAGGGCTGTGGGCCGGGTCCCCAGCAGAGGGTGTGCAAGAGGCAACCACACACTGATGCTTCTCTCCCTCTCTTTCTCCCTCCCTGTCCCTCTGTCTAAAAATAAATAAATAAAATCCTTAAAAAAAAACTAACCTTACCCATGGATTTTAATATTTTAATTAGATGTATCAAAGACAAACTGAAGATAACATTCTGCAATTCCATGCAAATGACCCAATTTAACAGTAAGAACTTCCATTCCTCTGATATAACAACAAACTGATTATTTCCAAAGGACTACTGCTCTACAAGTGGGAAGGAAGACAAGTCCCAAATGAAAAGGCAGGAAGAGAAGTGAAATGGAGGGGAAACACACCGATGGCACACTTCCGAGTCACCCACTTCCCTGCCGTTTCTGGACAGGACAAAGTGACTGGGGCCAACTACCCCTCCCGCAGTAAACAAATACAAAAATGGGACAAATGCAGGAAACTACCATTCTCAGACAGACAGAACAGGCAGCACAGAATAGCCACCCGTAACGACTAGGAAACAAGTGCGCCCACAACAGCCCCAACGGTCGTCACGGAGGCACAGTGGCAAAAAGGGAGAGAATGGAGTCCTAGCAGGGAGAAAACAGGGAGGCGAATACAGCGTTCCAATGACTGACACCAAAACCGAATAAAGAGATGTGAAATTTTTTTATTTAGAACAATCAGGGACTTCCAGTCAAGATGGAGGCACAGGCCCAAACTTCACCTCCTCGCACAACCACAGAAAGAATTACAACTAGACCTCAAAACAAGTATGACCCAGATTTGTCAGAAAATCGAGCCGTATGGAAGTCTGACAACGAAAGGTTTAAAGAGGCCGCAATCGTCCACATGGGTAGGACGGGCAGAGACAGGCGAGGAGGCACGGAGATGCAGTGTGGCACTAAGAGGCGGCCGCAGCAGAAATGGTGGTCCCACGTTCACGTGTGGTGGATAAAAATCAGGAGGGATACCCTGGGAACGAGGGATACCTTGGGAGCGAGCAATCCCAGCCCCAGGCCAGGCTGTACAGCCCAGGGTTCCAGTGCCAGGAAGATCAATCTCCATAACTTCTGGCTGTAAAAAACCAGTGAGGGTTGGCACAGCAGAAGACACTGTCAGATTTTCAGAGGACGCTGCTTAAAGAGCCTGCACAGACTTAAAATGTTCAGGGACACACCCGCTCTGGGATTCAGTACCAGGGCAACAGCTGGAAAGGCACCAGTGAACGGGGCAAGTGCTGGGCAAACTTCCGGAAGTCAGGCAGCAGCACTGTCCCCTCTCCAAGAGCTCCCCCTACTCAGAGCCACCAAGCGGTAAAAGAGTTTCCCCGGTCTGGATATGACCTGAGGCTCCACCCCATACAATTTACAGGTGCCTTTTCTACAACAGGCCAGGCTACTAAGACAGAGAATCAAAGCAACTCTATTTAATACGCAGAAACAAACACAGGGAAGTGCCAAACTGAGGAGACAAAGAAATATGGCCCAAATGAAAGAACAGAACAAAGCCCCAAAAAAAGAACTAAATGAAACAGAAATAATCAACCTATCAAATGCAGACTTCAAAACACTGTGACTAGGATGCTCAAAGAACTTATTGAGTACAGAACAAAATAAAAAAGACCCAGGAAGAAATTAAGGTTACACCAAGTGAAATTAAGGTTACACCAAGTGAAATAAAAAAAAAGAGACAGGGAACCAACATAAGGATGATGAAGCTGGGATTCAAATCAACAATTTGGAACATAAGAAATAACCATTCAACCAGAAGAGCAAGAAGAAAAAGAATTCAAAAAATGAGGATAGTATACGGTGCCTCTGGGGCATTTCCAAATGTACCAGCATCCAAATCACAGGGATGCCAGGAAGAGAAAAAGAAGAGCAAGAAATTGAAAACTTATTTGAAAAAATAATGAAAGAAAACTTCCCTAATTTGGCAAAGAAAATAGACACACACGTCCAGGAAGCGCAGAGAATCCCAAACAAGTTGGACACAAAGCGGCCCACACAGAGACACATCATAATTAAAATGCCAAAAGTTAAAGATAAAGAGAGAATCTTCAAAGCAGCAAGAGAAAAGCAGAGAGTTACCTACAAGGAGCTCCCTTAAGCCTGTTGGCTGATTTCTCAAAAGAAACTTTGCAGGCAAGAAGGGATTGGTAACAAGTATTCAAGGTGATGAAAAGCAAGGACCTACAACCTAGATTACTCTATCCAGCAAAGCTATCATTCAGAATGGAAGGGCAGATAAAGTGCTTCCCAGACAAGGTAACGCTAAAGGAGTTCATCATCACCAAGCCATTATTACATGAAATGTTAAAGGAACTTCTTTAAGGAAAAAAAGGAGATCACAACCATGAATATTAAAATGGCAACAAATTCACAAGTATCAACAATTGAATCTTAAAAAAAACAAACTCAGCAAACAACCAAAACAGGAACAGAATCAGAGATATACAGAACATTTGGAGGGTTATCAGTTGGGAGGGGGAAGGGGGAGAATGGGGGAGAAGGTGCAGGGATTAAGTATAATTAGTAGGTACAAAATAGACAGGGAGCTGTTAAGAACAGCATAGAAAATGGAGAAGCCAAAGAACTTATATGCATGATCCATGGACATGAACTAAGGCAGTGGGGAGATTGCTGGAGGGAATGGGGGTACCTGGCTGAGGGGGGCAAAGGGGGAAAAACTGGGACAACTATAACTGTATAACCAATAAAATATATTTTAAAAAATAGTGAAAAAATAAAAACTCGAACTGTAAAAAAAAAAAAAGGATCAAAAAAAAATTACAGGCCAGTATCCCTCATGAACAAAGACATAAAAATCCTTAAACTATTAGCAAGTCAATTCCATCATTATGTAAAAAGCACAATACACCATAACTAAATGGAGTGTATGTTAAGAATACAGAGTTAGTTCAACACTCAAATATCAATCAATATAATTGCCACATTAACAGAATAAAGAAGAAAAATTCTATGATCCATCTCAACAGATGCAGAAAAAGCATTAAAAAAATAAATGACCAAACTACAGACTGGATGAAAATTTACAACACATATATCTGAAAAAGGGTTTGTATCCAGAATACCTCTCTTACTACTCAATTATGAAAAGCAAAACAACCTTGTTATTTAAAAAAAAAAAAAGTGGGGGCTGGAGGCTCTGGCCAGGTGGCTCAGTTGGTTGGAGTATCGTCTCATGCACCAAAAGGCTGCGGGTTCAATCCCCAGTCAGGGCACGTATGGGAGGCAACTGATTGCTACTCCTCTGACTCTCTGACTCTGTCTCTCCGTCTCTCTCTCCCGCCTACCTTCCCCCATCCCTTCCTCTGTCTCTAACATCAATAGCCATATCCTCTGATGAGGATTTAAAAAGTTGGGGGGGACTACACTCAATCAATAACAACAACAAAATATTTTCTTACCACTTTTACAACATAGGGTGCATCACTGCCCACCGATTTCGAAGAATTTTTATCAGCTGTTTGGAAAAAAAATGACATAATATCAGAACAAGAAGTAGCATCATTATAAATAGCCTGTTATTAATACTTTGTTAATGTTTAGGTCTATAAATCTATAACCCCTTGACAGAATAAATTTCAGTTCCCAAATATGTATTTCAGGATATCATTACAGTATGTTATCAATTTTAAGACTTTTTTTCATGTTTTAACATGTCTGGAACTGGAATGCATCTCATAATGGCTGGTGTCTCCAATATGATCATCAATTTAGTAAACCATTAACTCAAAAGTATGCATGGCCTTTGATATACTAACGCATGTTTTTAATTACCAAGAGAACAACTGACACAATTGCTTACACTGAATAAACTGGGAATCATTTTCAGGAGTAAGAAAAGAGGGAATTAAAGTTCCAAAAACACTAGTTTGGGGGGAAAAACTCATCTAGATTCAGGATGTTGGCACTAAAACTCTCAACTGTCAGCCAGAATAATGTTAACGTGGCTGTCATTTTATTTCATGCAAATAAAGGAGCACAGTTGCCCTAGAACACTGAGTTAGGAATGTAAGGTTGCCTATATTCATTAAACAAATATGTTTACCAAGTACCTACTATACGCAAATTTCTAAGAAACCGATTTAGCAGTGAACAAGAAAAAGTAATTCCTATTCTTACGAAACTAACACTTCAGTGGTAGGACACAGACAACAATTGAAATATAAACTATGTTTAATGGTGGTAAGTGCTACAAAGGAAAAACTGAGCAGGAAAGGAAGGTAGGCAGTGTTGCAAGGCGGTAAGAGAAACCTTGCCGCCAGGGTGTCACTGGAGCGGTAGCCTGAGCGCAGGGTGGGAATGAGCCACATAAATGGCTGGGTGACAATCATTCCAGGCCGACCAGCACCTGGGCCCTGGCTGACGTGGGAGCCTCTGACGTGTCTGAGGAAGGCAAAGAGACGAAGTGGCCGGAGAAGCAGCAGTGAGTGGAAAGTGACAGGGCACAGACCAGAAGAGCAGCAGGGAACAAGCACAATGCGCTTGAGGGGTCACATAAAACTACCATTCTATGAAGGAGATGCGGCCACCGGAGGGTTTTGAAAAAGGGACTAGCAAGATCAGACTCTGCCTTTTAAGGAAGGGTTGGGGCTGCTCTGTGGAGAATGGAGCGTAGATGGAGAATGTCTGGGTGCGACATGGGGAGACCTAAGCCAGAGTGGCAGGAGACGAGGCAGTGACAAATGCTCAGACTGTGAGCATATTTTAAAAAAAGAGCCAAAGGTATTTGTTGATGACTTGGTTATAGAGGTTAAGTGAGGGAAAGGAGGTAAGGGTGACTCCAGGTTTTTGGCCTGAGCAAACGGAAAGAGGAAATTACTACTTCCAAGGATGGAGAAAACCACAGGAGGTGCTGGTGCTTTGGAGATTTCTAAAATTTGAGATGCTTATTAAATATCCAAGTTCAGATATTAAACAGGCAGTGGACGTCCAAGATGGGGCAAAAGCAGGTTTACAGTTGTTTGTATAGAAAATAATACAATAATAAATAATAATAAAAGAATAAACTGTTTCACATCCTCACGATTGTGAACCTACTTTTCTCCACCCTGTGTATGTATAAGTCTTGAGTTCAGAAGAGTGATGGCAAGTTAGAAATAAATGAGTCACCAACCTATGAAAGTGGAGGAGATCCCCTAGGAAATGCATGCAGACAGAAAAGAAGAAATCCTAGGACTGAACCCTAAGGCATTCTCTAAGAGGTTAGGACGGACAGGCAAAGGAAATCAAGAAACCACCAATCAGCTGGGAAGCAACTAGAAAACTTCCATTGAAAAAAGAAACACCAAGTCGTAAAACTGGCTAACGGGAAGAAGAAACAGCCAGGGAACATCAATTAGATACTGAATTAGTAATAAAATATGGTCAGATTTTTTAAATAAGCATTTAGTGTACAAAATATTAAATTAAGGATAGTATACTAGTAATACTGTACAATTAAATGAGGAAAGGAGGAAAAGAAATTCAATAATTCACTCTAACAATAGGTACTGCAAAATATGCCAGGCACTAGGAACACCATGCGAAGAGCTGTCCCGTCGTCAAGAAGCACATGTTTATTCCGGAAGATAGAAAAGTAATTCCAGCACAGTGCGGACAGAACCACGACAGGATTAACGCAGGGGCACCATAAAGAGACAGTGCCTGCCCTGGCTCAGCTCTGGAAAGTCAAAGTGAAAGAAGCATCACATGCAAAGATCAAGAGGCAAAAGGCAGCATTATAATCAGAGCAAAGATTTTGAGGAGAAAAAAGGGATGGAGATAAAGTTCCATAGGAACCAGGCTACGTGAAAGGTCTTGTGTGCCATTCTCAAACCTTTGGCACTTACTCTGAAGGAAACCAGGGAGACATTCAAGACATTCAACTGGGAAGTCAGACGATCTGATGAGCAGTCTAGGTCACGTGAACAACTGGATGCAAGGGGACAAGGCTGAGCAGAGAAGATCCACTGCTACAGTGAGAATCTAGAAAAGACATGAAAATGACCTGCACTAATGAGGGAGTGGCAGCAAAGAGGGAGAGAAATGAATGGATCCGAGTCGTCACTCAGTAAAAGCGACAGAACCAGGTGAGAGGCTGTGGTGTTCATGAAGGAACACTGGAGAATGCCTTCCCGGGGTCTGGTTTGGGGGGTCGCGGGGGGCAGTCATTCATTCAGGTGATCCTCTCCCAGCCACATGCAGAAGAGGAAAGAGGATGGTGTAAGTTTCAGGCACGCCTGTGGGACACTGCGTGGAGATCCTCGCAGGCCCCAGGGGCCTACGCCGAGGAGAGCAAGTCCTAGGCCACAGACAAAAGGCTTTGAGAAGAGGACTGGCAAGGTCAGACGCCGATTCGGAAACAGTACAGGGAAGCCACGCACCTGGGAGGGGTCACTCGGAGGGAATGTGCAGAATAAAAAGGAAGCCAAACGGGGAATGCTGGGGAGCACAGAGCGCCCGCAAGGGCGACGCCGCGCACCCAGAGAGCAGACGGCAAACCAGAGGGGAAGGCATGCTGTCCTGAAGCAAAGGAAGCGATGTTTATGAGTGTGAAAGATAAACAGCAGCAAGTGCTGCAAAAAATATCCAAAGAAAAGTCCCACAGCAACCTGCTGAACTCATGAGCAGAAGCTGCTGCTGAGCCTGACTACGGCAGTCGCCGAGGGAGAAGCGGAGGCAGCACACGGCAGCTCCTTCTCCAGAGCCATCGATCCACTTCTACACGAGCGAAGCTTTATCACAGACAAATAAAGCAGCTAGCGCTCACGCAAAACAAGTTCCGCATTTGCCAAAGGACACAAAAGCAAAGTAACTAATACAAAATTAAGAACCTGCTTGTTTAAAGACAAGTTCCCTACCATGGGATGTGCTATAATCCACACATTCTGCAGAGAGACAGTTTATATAATCTACCATCTCTAAATTTTAAGGTCAAAAAATACAGACCTGGCTAATAAAACTACCGACCTTTCATGGTTTATGAGAACCTCACCTGAAGTCAAAGGCAGCCTAGCTCACTGGGTTTCACTCTGAACAAAACTGAAGAATCAACACCTATCTCCTACTGACCTGGAGGAATCACATTTATAAAACAGAGTAAAGCGGTGGTTTTTAAGATGTTTGTTTCTTACCCTCAAGTCTTAAAAAACATTACTTTTTTTTTGTAATCTTTTGGTGAACACACCCCACAGACTGGCTAACCCACTGCAGCCCGCTGGACCCGGAGGAGGCTGAGCAAGGGCAGCTGCTCCCTCACCCATGGCGGGGGTCTCAGACTCGTGCCCGCGTGGCTCCTCTACGGTGTCTGACTGGCAGACCTGGGGTGGGACCTGCAAATCTGCAGTTCAAGCAGGTTTCCCCAAGATACTAATCTATACTACAGTATCAGCAGTCTGAGAAAGATATTGCTTCAAAGAGAAAAGGGATTCCGCTACTAAAAATAAAATTTTATAAACCTCCAGGCTGAAACTAAATAATTAAGTGATGGATTAACCGAATCAAGATTAAAAGTGAAGTAAAAACAGAAAAGTTAGAGAAAAGCAAACATGACATGCCTTGTATCACTATAATGTTCTTGATGAGGCAGTTTTAGAAGTAATCAGGTAAAATATTTTTTAAATCAACAATTTAGTTAACCTACAGAATCTCAGGGTTCCACAACAGGTCCCACAAAATTTCAAGGTAAACAATGCTAACGGTACATTAAGTCAGGCCTAATGCAAGTTCCTAGATGATTCTCCTAATTCCAAGATAATGACTATTAGGGTTGCATAGAATGAATAAAAATCTATGGCTGTTAAAGATCTGAAAATTGCCAAAATAAGCCAAAACAGAGGAAATAAATCCTAACTGGGTAGAGGTCAGGGGAAAAAAATCTACATCATTTTCTTTGGGTCACAAGAAAATTTAGATTGTGTGTAACACCTTAAAAAGCGAAGACCGCAGTGCTCACTAATGACACTATTACAAATACTGTACCCTCTTTTTCTATTGTGACTGAATCAACCATCTTCTTTTCCACTCCTATGTCAGAGATGCCTTTTTGCTTAATCATATAATATTAAATTAACTGTAGATTAGGAACATCCTGTAAAAGCTCATAACTGAGAAACCATTTTGATAAGAAAGCATATAAACCTTGGCTTGACAACTCATCAGAAGTAGCCACACACCCACCAAGATATATACAGCCAAAGCCGCCTTGGCCAATGGGCAGTCCGAGCTTCCATGCCTTTTTGGACATGTCGGTGATCACCTCCCCAGCTGCAAAGTGTTCTGCAAGGTGTCTCTTTGCAGGGCCCTGTCTTCCAGCTTGAGATGCTTTAACACGAGGCATTGTCACTAAAGTATAAAACAAAGCAACATGCAGAATTATAATCCTAGAAATGTTCAAAAACATTTTCCACTAAGGAAGGCTTCCATGCAATACAAATGCTGTTTAAATTCCTACTAATTCTAAAACTCAAAGGACATCTGTTCTAATTTATAATCCCATTTGACTATCTCTTAATTTTGGAGAGAAAACAATAAGTAAAATGACCTACACAATTACTTTCAAGAAAATGTTTAGTTTTAAGTGCCACTTAAAAACAAAAAAAAATGCTTTATGAAGTTGAGGGGGGAAAGGTGCATCCAGTTAGAATGCACACTTTATTTTAACGCAGTGAACTTATAAAGGTCAATACCAACATGGTAAGAGCACAGTACACAGATTAAAAACACATGACAATTAACAGGAAAGGAAAAGGAACAATTCTTCTGAACTTAAAAATAACGTGAAGATCAAAATGAAAGGTCACACAACATATATAAGAACAATCAACCCAGGATAACCAACACTAAGAAACAAAACTTAATAGTAAAAGAAAATATTCTTTGAGCACCCGCGCCAAAAAAATGATATTTTATAGGGAAAATAAAATCAGATTGTCATCACTTTGACAGCAACACTTTATGCCAGAAAAAAAAATGTAATGTTTTTTAAGACTTGAGGATAAGAAACATAAACTGAAGATTTTATACTCAGTTAAATTTCAAGTATAAAGACTTCAAAGTGTTATCAACATGGAAAAAGGGAGTGAGAATCTACTAGAGAACAAGCCTCAGATACCCAAAATGACTAACATAAGACCTGCTATTGAGCAGTAAACAGATATTTACTCATAGAACCTGAGACTCAAAAGGCAATAAAGGAAAGAATAGAATACATAATGGGTATATGTTCTGACAATGCAGATATAGTACAACTGCGTGAAATCAGAGAGCATATGCAAAAAAGTAATTATCCAGTAATTATATTGTGGTGATACTTGGTTTTGTTAACTAAGGCTATTGCATGCACAAATGTGGAATAATGCAAATGAGTAATTTCGTGATGTTATAATTCTATCATATCCCTGCATCCTTAAAAATCAGGATTCAAATATGGAAGAAAGAGAATTCAGATGAAAGACAGAAGAATTAAGGTTAAAAATGTTGTATATTTAAAAATATTCTTAATTCCAATGGCATCTTATCTTTTACAAAAATCATACACACACACCTTTTTATTTCCTAACCCCATTCACAAAAACGCTTTGAAACAATAACCAACCCAGAAGCAATTAGCATCCCTAGTATACAAACTGTATTCTTGAAATACCATTTCTTGTCGAAAGAAACCAGGTGAATAAATGGTTGATTCCAGGTTTGGAGCTGCAAATGCACAAGACAGACTTGCAACACCTGTTGTTCGTAGATGTCAAGGAAGCTATCAAAAACTACCACAGTTATGTCAAGTATGGCTAAGAAGCCAGCTTGAAAGATGTTCCCACTGACCAAAGATGGGCCTATTTGTGTCAATAAAGATAACAACCACAATGGATTAAGGCATACAATGGGTAAGTCCAAGAGTGTGTAACAGTAAGAAATCCTAAACGGTCACCTCTAGAGAGTAACAGAAAAACCACTCAATTTTGTAAAGTGGTAAATAAAGGACAGGAACAAACATTTACTCTTTCCTGCTAATATAAATTGTACCACTGGGTAACCAATAGAAGATGAAGAAAAATTTCTCCTTATAGAAAAATTTCAGCTAATAAATGACTAAGAACGGTTGGGTTAATACCATTTCTCCCTCCTGATGAATTAATAAATCCAGACATTGAGACTTAAGAACTACTAACATCGAAATGTAAGAGGTGTCCAGGCATTACATGCCTCCTGACAAAAGAATGAACCACTACCCATGAAGTAATCTTGATAAAAAGAAATAAAAAATAAACAGACCCTGAATCTGATCAAGGCTATCAATTCACAGCTCTAAGAGAACAGAAGAATATGATAAACTGTAAGACAGGAAAGCAATCAGCACCACCCAAACTGTGGGAAACCCTACCGTACAGAAAATCCCATTTCTTCAACCAAGGGAAAAAAGAAGAGATGGGGAGAAAAAAAAAACAACTAGATTTAAAAAGACTTAAAAACAACATACGTAAAACAAAACTAAATCAGGCAAATCGAAGCTAGTGTTTAGGGATGCATATTTGAGTATAAAACTATAAAGAAAGGGAAATGACTACCATAAAAGATAGAAGTTACACGGGGAAAGAGTAACAAAGTTGTGATTAGAATGGAGCACATGGCTGGCAAAGTTCTATTTATGAAAGTACCTTGGAATTCGCTGTCTATATCTACTTCATAAGTTTTCCGTATTGTTAGTTTATGGTTTCAAACATTAAAAAATTACTGTTCCTATCATTAACAATAATGAAAGAATCACAACTAGAAATCTTTTCATATTCCATGAACCTGTCCAATCCCTCCCTCCCTCTCTCTGTCTCTGTCTGTCTGTCTGTCTGTCTGTCTCTCTCTCTCTCTCTCTCTCTCTCACACACACACACACACACACGCACGCGCGCACACACGCACACGCACACGCGCGCGAAAGGAAAGGACTCCCTTAGTAAAATCTGGATTTCACTTCCTATGAACTACTGATACCCTTTTGCTTTTTAGAGGCACTTATATATTATATTAAAGAATTTAGCTTTTCGTATTGCAAATAGTCTTCCCAATTAACCTGTCTTTTGCTACTGTTTATCTGAGCTCTTGGATTTTACATCATCCTTAGACCTCACCCAGTCAAATTACTTTTTTCAATTATCTCCCACATTTTCTCTTAGTTGTTTTACGGTTTCATATTTTACTGGTAAAATTTTGCTCTCTACATTTATAATGGTGTAAGCTATAAAGTGGGAATCCAGCTTTTTCCACATGATTATCCAGTTTTTCTTCTTTTCCTCAAGAGATCCAGTGTTCAAGAAACCTGTATCATACCAACTTAAGTAAACTCAGCACAAAGTTCATATACAGTTGTTCAATGTAGGTCCTAGACTATCAGCTTCTTTACAAACAAAAAGAAAAAAGAGGAAGAAAAATAGTTTTATCAATTATTACTTGAAACTAACTTTCTGCTTGGGTGAAAACCTCCTTCATATTTTGGTCCATTCCACATAAATGTGAGTAAGTCATTGATATGGACTCTCTTGCTCTAAGAAAGGCCACTGTAACACAAACTATTTCTTTTTAAATGTCCCTCCATGGCGCTGGCTGGTGTGGCTCACTTGGTTGGAGCATCGTCCCAGGAAGTGAAAGGCTACAGGTTCAATATCCAGTCTCAGCACATGCCTGGGTTGCGGGTCTGCACTCTGGGCACTTACGAGAGGCAACCAATCGATATTTCTCTTTCATACAGATGTTTCTCTCCCTCTTTCCTCCCTCACCCTCTCTCTAAAAATAAATAAGCATGTCTTCGGGTGAGAAGACAGATAGATAGACGGACAGACAGACGGACCAACCGACCGACCGACTGACCGACCGACCGACCGAACCTAAATGAAGCTCCCTTCCTCCTGGGGCTTTTTCATGAAAAAGACATGGAGGCCAAGCCAGCACTCAAGGGCTGGCTTCTGCTGGGCGCAAAGGGTGTGGCGGGGGGGGGGGGGGGCGGTTTACAGCAGTGAATGAATAAACCTCTGGTCAAATAATACATCTTTTAAAATGTTGAGAAACATAAAAGACCTAAACAAACATAGCTGATATGCCACGGACTTGTACAGGGCAACTGAATTAATAACCATTCCTTAAAAAACAAACAAACAAACAAAACCCATACCTAACAGCGGTTATGATTCTTACTTAGAGTATGCTGCTGGATTCTGTTTGTTATTATTTTATTTAGGAATAAAATGGATATTCCCAAGTAAAACTGGTCTGCAGTTTTTTCTGCTATATGTTTTGATCTCAATATTACACTCGCTTCATAAAAGACTTTAGAAGCCCTCCTTCTTCTACCACAACATAGAGAGCTTAAACAGCATGTGAGCGAGCAGGCCCTCAGAGGCCGCGAAAGCCAGACAGCAGGGCGCGCGGCCAGGGCGTGGGCAAGTGGGTCTCCGCACCCTGTGCGCCACGTCAGCCACACGGAAACTCGACCGGCAGCAGCTGTTAACTGACCCCGCGCCGCTGCTCTTCGCCGTGCCTGCCTCAGGGAAATGGAGACGTGTCCACCGAGACGTGCACAAGAAGGACAGCAGCAGCTTTATTCAAACTAGCCAAACCCTGGAAACTCACGTCCACCAACAGAAAAAAAATAATAATAAAATGTAAATATATGAACTATAAAATATATATAATATAAAATATGTATTTCTATTATGTATCTTTCTGTTGATGGACAGGGAAGAATCTCTCAAACACGACATGTAGAAAAGAAGTGAGACACGAGCCAACATGCTGCAGGAAGTGTAACAGCACACGGAGCTAACCCATGACGGCAGAAGTCAAACGGGGATGCCACGTGGGGGAGGACACGACTCAGAGTTGGCAGGGGACAGTTTCTGGAGATACAGTGAGGTTCTGTGTCCCATTCCAGGTGATCCTTGCACAGTGTGTTCACTTCATAAAAATTAATCAAGTAGTATGTTTATGTTTTTTTCATTTTTTATTATGTAAAATTAACAGTAATTTACATAAATCATTAGTGTTATGACAGTCAGGGTACAGTCAGGAGATAAATACACAAGTAACTTAAAACAGGAAAATCTAATATAAAAAATTATCAATTTGTACTAGGCGGTGCCCACTAAAAGGGGGAAGGGCACGCAGGGGACACAGGCAGACAAGTGCAGGAAGCAGTTACTACCTACAAGGCTGACGGAGAGCACGCAGACAGGGCTCTCCCTGGGACCCGCTGGGTGGCAGAGTCCTCTAGGGTGCCAGGGGGCTGGGGCCGGCCCAAAGGGATCTGCCTGCTGGGGTGCTCTGGGAGCAAGAGCTGCCTCCTGGGGCGCCACAGAACC